AGAATTCAGTAGCTTTTATTTAGATTATGTAACCTTAAGAAATTTACTAAATATCTATTTGTAAACTTATATTAATTTAAAGTTATTGTAGGATCGAAACTCACTTAGAGAAGCAAGTTAGTGAAAATTCATGTACATTCATGATTCATTAAAAAAGTTGTCAAAGTAGTCTTGATTTAGACGCCAAAGCTATTTGTAAAGCATAGCAAATCTGAAGTTTCAACCACAGAATCTCACTCGTGCTTGTCCCCCACCTTCAAGGGAAGCAATGAAACAAAACGTCAACCAAGTTTCGTCTAATTTAAGATTTGAGAATCAAATGCATGTTTATCAAGCATTTTATTATTTTTAACTTGTAACCTACATGTAAAATAAGTAAAAAATTTGAACAAGCTAAGGGGTATCATATGAACCCCATTGCTTGAATGTGGCTCCACCGTTGGATGAGTTGTTTATCTCCTTAATTATATAGTTTTGGCAATCACCTCATGACTAGCTTCGAGGTTGAGATAGTTCAAAGATTCATTTGTTTATATGATATCATAGTTCAATCATCTCAATTCTTGATTTATCATATATTAGGGTCTTATGTTATGTATTTCACACTCCAACCGTATACTATATGTTAAGCATATAAAGGTTACTAAGTACCCTGCATCGATAATTGAATGATGAGGTATTTGTTTTCTTTTATTCTCTTACGCAATTCGCATCTCATGAGCTAATCTTTTTAGGTCAAGTTAAGTTCTAAATTCATTTTTTCATATAAAAATAATATATATATATATATATATATATATATATATATATTGGTGCTCGATCTTCAATTTTATTTCAAAAATAAAATTAAAGAATTGATGTCCTAATTTAGTTAAAAATTAGACGTCATGACTTCCGCACTCTGATCGAGGAATTACTTGTTAAGAACAGTAGTACATCATTTTGTATGATGAAAATGCAAATTGCAACAACGTTACTAGTGCAGGTTCATTGGATAGACATAAACAATAGGAATAAGTGAGAGGGGTGGCTGAATGGTCTGACACGGAAACAACATTAACAATTGAAAAAAAGACTTCGATTGTTTAAATTTTTTTATTTTTTTTTTAATTCAGGGTTCATTTCTAGTGGTAGCATTCTTTGCATGATTTTTTTAATTCCTAGAGCTCGAATCGAGACTTTAGTTCAGAATGGAGAGATCCCAATAATCTTATCACAATGGCGCAACCCATATGGGATGATTGTTGAATTTGATTTCAACATGTGTGTTACTACACGAGATCATCTTCAAAAGACATAAAATGACTTTAATTTTTTCAATCTTCTAGAAGAAATTAAAGGATATATAGACAATGACGTACACAAGATTTTACGCAAATAAGATTAGTTTATTATTGCAATTCAGCTCATAAGTGCGTTTAAATTTGAAAATGTAGTGATTTTAACTTTTAAGGCTTTACTTTCTGTCTTAAGTTAAGAGTATCTATTTTACTTTATTGGAATCTAGCTATTGTATAATATACATATTATTTCTTAATTTTAACTTGGTGACATGAAATTTCCTCCACTGAGATTGGAAATAGGAAGTGATTATGTAGGGTTGACTTGTCCATTTTGAAGAATTATTTTGTAGGTTGATCTCTAAACAAAGAAACATAAGTGGATATTATTTTGTTGCTGCCGGACAAATATTAATTGAATGATTAAGATTAACTAAAATAAAGTTATAGTCAACCTTTGAGTCAATGACCACTAATTTTGTACTCTAAAACTCTAAAAACATCATTTTTGGATATTGTCATTGTCGTAAGTGGATAGGATTCAAGTAGTGTTGACTTTCTCTTTTTGTTGCTAAAGAAGATGGAATCATGATTCTTGCTCCAAAAGAATCCTTATTAATGTTGTGCAAAAGTCAGCTCCAAATCACACATGTGTTATGCCTAATTATAGCCACATTTATTGGCTCTCATCTTCAAATGCATCTAATTTTTTAAGCAAGTGTATGTGAATTACCATTGGATCCATTGTTTTTTTTTAAAAAATCTATGTAGGTATAGTTATAGTTACATGAATAGATGGCTATAGGATATACCTATTAATTTCAGATAAAATTATATATATTTTGAGAAATTAGTACATGCTATATTAAATTGTCATAGTATGTACATACATTTGCACAACCTTAACCACTAAGTTAATTCTCTCAATTGGTTCATGCGTTTTAAAATTTAATTATTAATGTAGAAATCATATACTTGTGTTTATATCACTGCTCACACTATCGATGACCAATCTGATATGATATTTAATTTCCAAAATCGTCATTGAAACTTTTATTGACATTTGTGTTAAGATAATAATGTCCTCACATCTTCAAATTCTGAGTCCACTTCTGAATGCTCTCATTGCATCTAGTCTTGCAGGAAAATGAAGTTCTATATTGGTTGGTACACATGAATATTATATAAAATTAAATATATAATTCTAGTATAATGAGGAGACCCTAAAAATAAAAAGTTATAGTGTTATAAGGTTGGGTACTCGATAGTGACAAACTAATAGCCCCACCCGTCCAATTGTTTTCATTGCCCCTCTCAATCTTTTCTTCACTGTGCAAATTGTAGCCATGACAATGTGGTCCATAGAGTTTATCTCATTGGTACATATCTCTATGCTTTGTTTTCTTCTTCACTTCATTTTCTTTACATTAAGGATTTATCTTTTCGATAGTAAACTTGAATTTTAAAATTAATTAATTCTCATTTCTTGTAAAAGAATGCATGCCTTGGCAAGAAAAAGGATCCACGGAAATTATGAGAAGTAAAGACAACAAAAAGAAGACAAAATGAATAATAAAGAGAGCGGGGTACACAAAATAACGTGAGACAAGTCATATGTCATTGTACTAAATTATTCAATAATAAAGATAATGAAATTTCATAAAATAAATATTGTGATATTGAGTTGTAATATTAAAAATAAGTGTAATTTAAAAATATTAAATCATGTTGAAATATGTAAGACGGGTAAGTATGTACTATTAATTACATGACTAAACGTGAAAAAAAAAAAGTAAAACTAAATTACATATTTTCGTTGTCTAAATTAATGCAAAAGTAATTTTAAAAAAGATATCCAACACTATTGTCATTTCTAATGTTTTCTAATGTTAGAATTGATTTTTTTTTCTCTTAGCAATTTGGTTTTGGTGTGAACTTTATTTGAATTACTAAAATAATGATCTATAAAATTTATTAGACCATTCAAAAAATCTAAGTTTTAAATTTGAAATAATATATTTAAGGATAAAAATCATTATAAATTATATATATAATATATAATAAACAGTTTTAAAATTTATATAAATATATAGTGTCAATTAGTTTGATTTTGACTTGTTTTTTTTTAAAAAAATAATTAAAACTACATCAAATCAATTTTGACCTTCTTTTGTTTTTTCAATACCAAATCATAATTAGGTTGTTTTTTTGTTAGATTTAATTCGGATTATGATTTAGTGCGATTTGTAAATTTTCCTTTTATACAGCCTATATAGATGTATATCCAAAAGTGGCAAGGCGGACCCGTCATATGCTTATGCCGTGCACCACTATGTCAGATGAGGCAGTACCACTAGGGTCATATTTGGCACAACCAAGCTGCCTTTACAACTTAAAAGCTGTCAAATCTTGCTTTAATCCTTTGGTGGGAGGATTTTTGCATTGGGACCAGTAGCTGCAGCAAGAAATTGGATAAAAGAGCTTGCCCATTTACTGACTGGATATTTCCTAGTTTGTTCTGTCATATTTTACTTGCTCTAATTTGTGATCCTCATCTCATAACTCTTGTTATCCACTATTACTCTTTCACCTTTCAAACAAGTCCAGAAATTACCAGTCTTCATTATACCGACGGAACATGGAGGGAGATGAGAGTGTTAAGTAGCTCGATAAAATATTAGTTTAAGGCAAACTTTATATTATCTATTTGAGTAAAGTGATGATGATGGTGTGTTAAAACACTGAAGAAGGTACAAATTTAGCGAATGATGATATGAATGGATGGGAGCTATGGCTTAATCCTAGTTGAACATCTAGCTACTCAACTTTGCCATTATCTCCTACCATTTTCCATCACTACAATGAAGAATATTAATATCTAAACTTGTCTGCAAGATAAAAGAAAAAAAAGAGTAATAATCTTAGACAAGAAGAGTACATTCTGTATTATAGATGAATTTTTGGACGGAAAGTATTAATACAAGCTATGCCTGATGATCCTCAACTCTCAAGTATGCTTTGTTTAGCGCATTAATACATGTTAATTGCATTAAATTAGTATTTAGAGGGAGGTGAAGTTGTCCTTAATCCCACCTATTGTATAAGGGCATTGTTGTCTTTTGCCACTTAAAACGAATTTTAGACACCCGTTCTAGGCAAAAATCTTTTACCATACATGACTTGTGGGGTAAGCATATACTACACAAAATAATGTGGGACATGTCCATATCATCCAAATGATGCAACAGAAAAAACTTTTGTCGTCTAATAAGCATTGACTAATACAAACTTCATATAGAATCATTCCGCCAAAGACACTCTCAATGATGCCCAATTGCAAGTCAGAAGGGATCTAGCCTTCGGCATAATGTCAAATCATCTTAAATCATTAAACATCGTCACTGCAACAGTAAATTAGTCAAAACAAAATTGTTCATTGACTGATTTACAATCGAACAATGACCAACGACAAATAGAGAACAGAAAACAAAAGGGCATCAAGTTTGCTCAATTGTTATTTGCCTCCCTTAACCAGCAAGTGAGGAAGAACTATCCATCCCACATGGAAATAGATAAGAAAAGAGACGTGAATTTATTGAGTCTCCATAAATGTATCACAATGGTCCCGATTTCTCTAAAATATTGCCTTCAGCTATTAAAAGAAGAAATAGACTTGAATACAACAAAACGAAACTGGGTATCCACTGTCTAATAGCCTTGGTGACCATTAACAAGTTATTAAAGCCGTCAAACAGGGTGACATAAATAATTCAAGATCTCCATTCATGACAAATAATGTAAAGTACCTCTTTGCAAGAAATCTGAATGTTGAGAGTGGCATGCCAAAATTAACCGGAAGTTTTGTCCCCACCAAATCCTGAGTTTAGAAATTCTGTCTTGTTGAGATGACTTACGTCGGCCCAGAGTTTAACGGTCCATTCATCTTTATCAGACAAGTGAAGTATACCAACAGATGTATTCCAGATCTTACTTTTAGACCTCCTATGTGGGGAAGCCCGCATGTGAAGTGCTCTGATTGCACCCCCGTGAGATACCACAACTACTCGTTTTCCTACATCGTGAATAAATAAATTTCATACTCACAAAGTATCTCTATGATATAACACTCTTTGATCAATCCAGTAGTTAAAGAATACCTCGGTGGTTCTTTGCAATCCTCTGTAAACAAGAAGTGCAGCGTTGATAAAGTTGATCTAAACTTTCTCCACCACCCTGCAAATAAGTGGTGGGAAACTGAATACATGCAATTATGAAACAGACAAGATCATACAGTCTCTGCTCCTTCCCCTCCTTTTCTTTCATCTTGGATTGGGTACTTGATCGGTTGATCGTATGTCCTGGGAGTCCTGATTCTAATTTGGTTCAATCTAATGGCAGTTAACGCTTCCTTGATAATGGATTTTAGATCAATTTTCCAATTTAGAGCTCACACTTATGGCATACATATGTGACGAAGCAGATTGAATTGCCAAAAAGCATAAATAAAAGAAGCAGATTGAAGAAAATTCATATTCACAATGAGTCAATGACTACAAGTTTATTCAAAGAATGTAGGATAATGCTGATCATGGCAGTAATGATACATGGGGTGCTCTTCTACTTCTTTTTTCCTTTGTCTTTTTGGGTTTGGATAGGAGAAAGGAGTACTCACTGGAATAACTTGATCATTTCGGTCAGAGAGAAAAGCCTTATAAGCCAGCGGTTGGCTTTTGGCTGCTTCACAGAGCGAAATACCTTGAAGATCTCCGAGATGTCTCTCTCGAAGGTCTGGATCTTTAATGACCTATATTAAGCACAAACCAAGACATAAAAGTAAGTTATTTACTCCAATATGTTGTCTAGTCAGCTATTCCAACATTGCATACAAATCTCAGCTATCAACTCAGTTCCCTATCCCTCCCTCATATCCATGCCGGTCCCGCACAATTGCATCTGTTCCACATTGGACGGGCATCAGCTCCTTAACATTGTTAATGACTTATTGCTTCCCAGATCTATGCTTGACAGAATGAAGATAGATTCATAGAATAGATCTTGAATATCAGTTACACAAAACTCTAACCCTTTCTTAGCCTCTTAAGCATATTCTACCGCATAGTATTGCCTGTTTCCAGAACTGAAGAGTTGCATTCTTACTAAGAGGTGAGCTGTCTTTATTCCTTACTCATACACAGAACTAATGGACAACAACAACATATTATGAAATCACTAAGCTGACAGTTACATTAACAAGAAGAAAAAGAAGTGAAGCAACAATAGCTTAATTGTGTGAAGCATTCACAGGAAACGTAAAGCAACATACTAAGAAAAATAGAACGGTGAACGATAAAAGCAGGATCACTTCTAGCATAGAAGCCTCTAAACAGTGGAAACAGAGCTGATACTGCAGGTCGAATTCCAGGAAAATCAAGAGTACTCAAGAAAAAAATAGATCGATTGTTTGAAAACAAATGATAAAAGAAACTAATTGTGAAAGTAAAATAGATATCATAAAAATAGCTGAAAACTTTCTTCCATCTACAAACTAATAAATAATTTAAACCTGCAAAAGTTTCTAATATATCACATTATCCAATTCAGTAACAAAACCAAAATCTCTTTACATAATCAGACATGATGAGAATTATAATATGTGAATTTGAAGTCAACTGTAATCTGCTTGAATTCTGACAATGCAAATCCATAGAGAATTCATACCTCTAGATCCCCACAACTCCTTGCTATTATCTCTGCTGTCTCATGGGCCCGTTTCAAGTCAGATGAATATATGACAGAGATCCTTGGCTCCTTGGAGAGCCGGGCTGCCACCTTGAATAAATGAACTTCAGGCATTGCACCAAAAATCCCAAATAGAAAAAGAAAAAATGAAAATGGAAGAAAAGAAAGGTTGAAGTAACCCCCTTTAAGTTTTTAAGCTGAGAAACCTTGAAGTCCCACATCCCCTACCCCTCAATAAAAACAAATAAAATGAAATGGGTAAAGGTACAGATTATCTCCCTTAACTAGTGGTTTCTTAGGACTTGAATCTTTACTTTTTGAGAAAGGTAACATTTAGGACGTGAATCTTTTCTCGATCAAAAATGTTAACAAAGATAGTGAAAAGTTTAAGCCAAGGGCTGAGCCATAATTCCTTTCTTCTCTTCAAAAATTTAATACATAAACAGATATACTTTAGAACAAATGCTGAAGTACCCATCTCAAAAAATTATGATGGGTAGTGTACATCAATCGCAAAAGTTCAAAGCAATTAAGTGAAATACAGAATTTACTAAACAAAATACTATCCTACAGATACTTACCGCAGTAGCTTGCTGTCTTCCGATGTTATTTAATTCGACATCTAAATGTCCCTGGTGAAATGAAACAAGCATCAGTTACCACATCCTCTTTTATGATCCATAAAGTGTTATTGAATTTCCCATACAAAGCCAAACGATAACGATTCACAAGAAGTTCCAAGTGAATACAATTTCTCCAATAGAAATGGAGAAGTATTAACATATTGCACCCAAACATCAAGGACTTATTTTTGGTAACCGAGAAATTTCTGAGGCCCATAGCGCACGGTTAGAAACTCGGTGGAGAATGGACCCACCCTTCTTCCCTTCTCTACTTAAATACTAGACTTTTGTCTATGGCAAGGCTCGAACCCATGACGTCTGCCTAACCCACACATCACAAACTGCGCTCTTACCACCGGACCAAAGCCCACCTAACAATATCAAGGACTTTCAACCACCTTAGATGTGGCTTTTTAAAAATGTTCTATCTGTATTTCTTCTGGGTTTGCATTATGCCATTTATGCTTTATAAGAATTTGGTAGAATTCCTTAATATGATACCAAAATATAGACAATGGATTAAATACGAGCAGTAATGAGTACAAAATATTACCAAGTTTGGACAAAATTTTCTTTCACAATGTGCAACTAGATGCAAACTAATTAGAAAGGAGCATCCTAGCTTAGAAATACTCCAAAAATTCAAAATATCAAGTTTTGCATGTCAGTTTTACCGTGTAAAGACCCCAAAAAACTTTAAACAATTACAACTCCAGAAAGAACAAGGGCACATACTTTAACAACAACAAAAAAAGACAGAAGAAAGCTAAAACGAGGTAGGAAATTACCTGAATTCTGCCATCAGCGTTCCATTCCGTCTCACCATGACGGATTACGATAATCTCAGTGAAACTAGGACTCACATTTTCAGATTTCGCATCTCCGCCACATTCAGGCTGCGATATAACCCTGCTTAAGACACGTAACAAATTCACATCACAAGTTAGGGCAGAAAAGAATCGAAAACCAAAAACAAAAAAACACGATTATTATCCAAATTTAAAGGCAGTTAGTACACCTCTTAGAATATAAACACTACATACTTTTCAAAATTTTCTTTTGGTTTCCAATATACAGACCTCAAATCAACTACTTATATGACAATGTAATTCAAGTTTCTAAGCATGACAGTAATATGTGCACTTATAGCAACTGCTTAGAAAGGTAAGCGATGTAATTACAGACCTAGAAGTAGAATCAGCCATGGAAATATGAAGAGGAGGAGGGATTGAATTGAATCTCAAGGCTGATATTCTGATAGTATGCTTCGAAATTGCAGCAATTGGTGACAATTTTGAGCAACAAAAATTGCTGGTCTGAGAGTGGCGGAGAAGCATATGAATGTCAGGCTTTAGTGATTCCCCATAACGAAATGAGATCATCTCCGGGTCCGTAGGGAATTTGTATTCCTGCTACTGGTGAAAATAACAAAACTAGATGGGCTTACGGATCTGGGCCAGCCTAATAGGTGTCCAAAATTTTCGATGGGTTGAGAGAGAGCCAATCCTCCTCAATCTTTTGAACTTTCAAAAATAGCAAAGAGTTAAAACATAATGAGTATAGCCGGCAATGTGGGTTAGGCCCGCTGGACCGGCCTGACCTAACCCTTGATTTGATAGGGTTGGGCTATAATTTTTGGAGCCCATTTAAGAAAGGAAAATTCACCCCACATATCTATTTAAAGCTTAATATTACAGCCTTTAGATGCATTTTTTTTATATTACTACTTATAACAGTTTAATTACAAGTATTAACAGATTAGTTTTAATCTATAATTTAATTTATTTGATTTAATTAATTAGTTATTATATTTATAATTACCTTACAATTAATAAGTAAGAGAAATAAGATAATCAATTGTCATTATCTCTTACACCATTTTAGGGATAACATTAATAGAGAATCAATTGCTATTATCTCTTACACCATTTTAGAGATTTTTTTTCCAGTTTTCACACCCCCATCCCCACGTTCCTCTTTTACATAAAATTATTTTTTTCTCTCTCACCATCTTCAACGTTCGTCTTCTTCATTAAAAAAGAAAATCAGCAGAACTCATGATTGAGCTCCATGGATGTGGAAGGAAAAAAATAAGATAACATACTTTCCTTTCTGTATGAATTTTTTGTTATGTTTGATAATTGGAAGAAGCGAATGCTTACTTGTGCCCCACTAGAAGTGGATCTGTATTTGTTTTAAAATTAGCACATGTTTTTAAAATTATATGTGCGGGAAAGAATGTCAGATATGAATTCTGATTTTTTCTTTCTATTCTTTTGTTCTCTCTATCAACTCTTTTGTTATCGGTAGCAGGCAGGTCGAGAAGAGGCGTTGACCAAGGTTTCTGCTCTTGAACTAGAGATAAGTATTGAAATGCCAACAAATAATGAAATTTCGGTAAAAGATGCTTCTTCTCAGTCGAAGATTAGTCAAGCAAAGAAAACAATTAGTCATGCAAATCAAAAGGGAAAAAAGAGGAAGGTGAAAATTGTAGAAGCGACTCATTCTGTTTCAGATTCGGATTCAAATTTTGTAAGTGAGATTAAAAAAAAAAAAAAGCAACAAATGTCGAAATTGGTCAGTCTTCAAAACCAATCAACAAGAAGAACAACAAGGAAGGAGGACTCATAAATCCCAAATTTCAAAAAGAAGGCAAAAAAGTGGTTAGGATAAGTATTTTATTTAATTTATTTTTGAATTATTCAATTTAGTATTTTTTTTTGTGTTAAAAATATTGTATTATGACTATTGTTGTTACGAAACTTATATTGATGTGAAAAATGTATGAAATTTGAATAATATTTGTATGAATATGACATTAATATATGATATATGAATATTGTATGAAATGTTGGTATTCAACTGGTATGAAGTGTTATTTGATATTGGTATGAAATTGGTTTGATATCAGTAGCCCAATAAATTGATTTTAGTGTCGTTTGTTAAATGTTACAGTGCACATGAAATCTAGTATGATGTTTGAATAATATTTGTGTGAATTTTTTTTCAAATATGGCATACTGTTTTATTAAAATTTATGTATATGAATATGGAATGAAACATGAATAATATTGGTTTGAACTGAATTTTGTATATAGTATATGAATGTTGATATGAAATTGATTTAATTTTTGTATAAATTATGTGAAATAATTAATTTATAACTACTTATAAAATGAAGTTGGTATTGGAATGAAACATGAATATTGTTGGTAGGCTGGCAAATTCATTTGAGATCTCAATTACATGTTTTTTTTCAATTTTTCTAATGGGATATCAGTTCGATACCAAGTTTACACCAATTGGGTACAAATTAACTAGTTTTAGGTTGATTAATTTAGTTGAAATCTCAATTACATGTTTTATTCAATTTTTCCAATGGGATATTAGTTCGATACCAAGTGTACACCAATTGGGTACAAATTAACTAGTTTTAGGTTGACTAATTTAATTGAAATCTCAATTACATATTTTATTCAATTTTTCCAATTGGATATCAATTAGATACCAAATGTATACCAATTGGGTATAAAATTAACTAGTTTTAGGTTGTCTAATTCGGTTGAAATCTCAATTACATGCCCTTTTTTCAATTTTTCCAATGGGATATCAATTCGATACCAAATGTATACAAATTAGATGCAACATTAACTAGTTTTAGGTTGACTATTTTAGTTGAAATCTCAATTACAAGTTTTTTTTTTCAATTTTATCGCTGGGACATCAGTTGGATACCAAATGTATACCAATTTCATACTATGATTTGAATTTTCAGTTGATATCAATTGCATACCATCATTATCTAGTTTTTTTACTATACATTTGAAAAACACTTAATACACAAATGATTAACTAGTACACATAATAAATGTTGAAATTATAATTCATTAACTTAAAAGACAAAATAAATCAAAACATGAGTTTGTCACATTAAAACAATCAAAACAAAATAAAAATAAATGTCTTTTTTTTCCAGCAAGGTAATTTGAACATGTCTTCTTGTTGTGTCCCTCCCGACGACATGTACTGCACGTAACCTTAGACCTCTTGCATTTCACATCAGCAAATCCTTTCCAACGTTCATGTTGTGGTCTCCCTACAATTCTTTTTGAATCAGACGACAATAATTTATGCTCCGACACTTTTTGAATTGCATATTTTCCTGTTCCATCATAAATTATTGTGTTAGTATTACTGGATACAAAAGTACAAAAAATTTTACAAAACTATATATAATATGATAATACGCACTGAAACAATATTTTTTTGTATCAATTTATGCTCCGACACTTTTTGAATTGCATATTTTCCTGTTCCATCATAAATTGATTGTAATAACAACAAAATTATACACACTCATCATTATTTTTTCATACAAATATCATTCAAACAGTACACTACAAAATAAATTTCATACAAAAAATAATGTTTCACATTTCATACTCACTTAATACACATTTCATACAACAATCATCATTCATACCAATTTTATACATTTCTCATACCAAATAATTCATTACTCTTACACAAATTTATACACAAATGACAAAACATATATAATCAATAAAATTTCAAATTTTCATACCAAATTAAAACACTTTTCATACATTTCTTCAAAAATCTAAATAACTTTTTTAAACATTAGTGAACAAACTTTCATACCAATTTCATTACATTTATACTACCAAATTCATTCAACATTTTACATTTAATTTATATTTTCGAAAAAAGAAAACAGTAATCAATATTGCAATTTTACTATACCTACTTAATCTACAACGATAAAACTATTTATATTTTATACATTTATACTCAAATCTTTCATATATTGCGGCTATTTCTCACGAAATTATGATTTTGATAGTATTACAAATTAATAAAACAAAAAAAAAAGTTACCAAAATGTATTATGAACAAAATTAACAAAAACGTATTATGAACAAAAATTAACAAAAACGAATTTTGACCAATCACTAAACAATAATAAATACTAACCTGAAGGAGCCCATCTTCCACCATGTTTAATTAATATTGATACGTAGTTGTCCATCACAAAAAAATCAAGATTTTTCAAAGAAAAAAAAACTTCAATTACTCGATAGTGAGAAGATTTTTGGCAGAAAATTGAAGAGAGAGAAACGTTGAACAAAAAAAAAGGATAAAATCAGAATTTTTAATCAAGTTTAACTAATTTGAGTGAATTAAGGAAACTAAATATTCTTAAAAAGTTTGAATTCCTTAATTCATGTTAATTAGTAATTATCTACACTCAATTCAAATTAAATTAACACCCCTATTTCTGTTTTTTACCTTTTTGCCTTCAAAAATGTTTTTTTTTTGTTTTTTTATCTTCTTTTTTTAAAAACAAATGTTTTCAATTATTAAAAACAACTTTTTTTAAAAAATAAATTGTTAGAACCTGAAATTTTTAATGTTACAACTTGAAAGTTTAAATCTACTGCTATAACTTGAAAATATTAATATAATATATGTCATATATGAAATTTTCACTTTAAGAAAATAGTTTTTTAGCCCGACCTGAATAAGTCTGCCGATTTGTGAAATTTGAGAAAAGAATTTTTTTTCAAAATGTCAATATTTTAGCATTTAATAGGATCTCTTAGCCATATTTTCAATATTTATTAAAAGTGTCAATATTTTAGTTTGTCATATATCCGATTTATGTATTTCTTAATTTGTTTAATTTGAAAGAATACAATTATTTAATAACAGAAGAGAGAAAATCGAGAGAATATTTCAAAAAAGGTAAATATCACTTAATTTTCTCATCAGTTACATTTTTTAAAGAAAACTCAAACGTGTGCCTTTTTCACAATGTATTTTTATTTTATTTTCCAGAATTTTGTAACCTTTTTTAAATCGTATTTATTCCAATATGTATATTATTTGTATTCATTATAGTTTTCATGTTGTATTTTGTATAATGAAACTTGTATTTTTTTATTAGTTTGTATTCATTCCAATAGTTGTGTATTTATTTATTTTTCTTCAGAATCTTGTATCCTTTCTTAGGTCGTATTCATTCCAATATGTATTTTATTTGTGTTTGTATTCATTCTAGTTTTTTATGTAGTATTTTGTATAATAATATATAAAATACAAAAAACAATATGATGAAAAAGTGAGAATGAAATATATAACTGAAAAGGCATAAGTGAATATTTGTTGCAATCATTCTTAAATAAAATACATAGCTAGTTGGCATACCTTTAGAATGAATACAAATTAGAAACAATACCAGATTCATAAACTATGCAACATAATTTTTGAATGAATACAAATTTTAATAGCATACATACGGTTTTGAATACAAATTGAGAAAGGATACAAAATTCTAAAAAAAACAAACCAATAGAAAGTTGTTCT